AATATTAAAATAATAGCAATTTTTATCATTAGGCTAACACTCATGGTTTAGTTTTTGGTGATATTTTTAGAAATAACATAAAAAAGCTGAACTGTTACTCGTATGGGGAAAAGAAAATAGATTACTCCAATTAAGCGTTAAGTCCCTTGGAGTTTCTGGGGCTGAGCTTATTCTTTAAAAAGAAGAAGAGAGCACATAACTAAGAGGAGGAGAGGTGAAGGAGAGGAGTAAGAAGAGGAGGCAACAGCCCAGGTTGCTGGGATGTGCTTAAACCATGAAAAGGAAATCCCTGCAGAAAACAAGACAGAAAAAACAAACGTTGCCCAAGACCATGCTAAGGCTGGTAAAACCTGAGTGTAATGGGGGCCTGAGACACTTTATTTGCCAGAGAAGAAAGTAAATTTTTTGGAAAAGAAAGGGCCTAAAATAATTCGGATGGTGATGAACAGTCATACATCCCTATTACACTGTCTCAGTTTTCAAGGAATCTGTGTGTTTTCTTACGTTTCACCTACTGGTAAAGCACTACAGGGACACCAGTATGCGTGCACATACCAAAAGAGAAGAGTTGTACATTGAAGTGTATGAATAAATGTGTATTTGTATAACCTGTGGCACTCTTCAATAACAATTTAAAAAAAGGTGCAAAACGAAAACCAAAGCAAAAACCCTAAACCACTCAAACAATAAATGTACTGGTAAAAGAGCTTAACTCCCTTGGTTTGTACAAATTTTAGGCTTCATGAGCATGCTCCTGAGGTGAAAAAAAATATGGTAAAAGCAAGAAATTTACTTTCAGACTTCTAAATGTACAAAAGTACACATTACAGTCCCTACATTCCATATGCTATTTACATACTGTTCTTATTTGACTTCTTTTTTTTTTTAAAAAAATCTTGAAATAGATCAAACAAGCTGCTTTACCCCAAAGTAAGAAATTCACCTGAGAAATGCACCCTTTCTTCACTGAAAATGTAGCTTCAGGTCATTGCCAAAGACATACTGTTGCCTTGAGAAAAGGAAGCTTAAGGGAAAATCTTGAACAAACCTACCTTGGGACCACTGAATTTAAACCTAATCACTATCCTGGGAAACAAGTACCTGTCAATTTGCATATAATGTGTTGGTTTAGAATGTACTTACCCTAATAAGGGAGATAGTCATAAGATCACAATGCTTTCCTCTCTCCCACAAGTCTTTTAGTTTCTACTAGCGTATTTTGCTCTTGTACCAAAGTCTCATTCAATATTCTTCTGGTCTACAGATGTGTAATTAAGTAATTACTGGGATAAGCACTGAGTAAGAACAAAGGAACTAACTGTCAATTGAATACAAGGTCTTTTTTATTTACTTTTAAATTATTAATACCTCAATACTTGCATCCTTAGAATTGTCTACAGTATAATTTTTTCCATCTACTTTCTAAACAAATCAGATAATTATGAAGTATGCAAGAAACTTACAAATACTGACATCTTGAATTGCCAGAAACATAAAGTTTTGTTTGTTTTAAAAAATAATACAGTTAAAGGTATTATAAAGTAGTACATGTGGCCACAAGCCACTATGTCTAAGTTGTGCCTTTAACAGTTCTGTCTTTTCTTTTGAAGTTTATAGATTTCCTAGAGAAAAGAGGATGTTTTTAATGGGGAATAACAGCTACCAGTCAAGCATATTAAGTTAACTCTCTTCCAAATACATACTTGCAACTTGAAACAAACTTTTTGCCATTTAATTCAGCGTACTTTTTGTTTACAGGTTTCT